GTTTAGTTCATCAAGTCTCTGGTTGTGTTGCTGGGGGCTGACTTCCCTGGACATCTGCCACTGTAGGTTTGCTCACAACCAATGCACGTCCACGTGCTCCATTCAGCTGAAAAGGAACACGTAATTAGGCACAAATTGAGACCTAACTTGATACAAAAGGAGCCTTCTACTGAAGTTGAAACTTACCCTAACATACTGGTTACCAGTAGTTTCTTCTACATAGACTCCTATTCCTCTTGTTGCTACCCTCATCTCACGTTCTATGGTTCTTCGATCATCGACATTCAGCCTAACTTGCTACAATGATACATCACATCAGGATCACATTGACCTCACACTCTAGCAAAATAAAGTTTGCATAATACCTGAATTCCAGTCCCTTAATTAAGGGGACAAGTTCTAGCATTATGTGTGGCAAATCCACATTTGTTGCAATGGGACACTCTGGTCCTCTTTCCAGTTGCTGAGTCAGGTTGTTGCGTGGCCAATGACCCTGCTCCTCTGCCAAGAACAAAAACAAAGGATTAATTAATGATATATTTGCAATGGAAAATGACTAGCACAAACATTGTAATTACGGACTAAGGGGTACTTACGGTTCTTGGTGCCTCAACGACTGTGGGAGACTTGCAAGTTCGTGCATTGTGGCCCTTTGCACCACACTTCTCACAATGAATTAGGGTTCCCCTTTTCGAGACTTCCTCACCCACTCCATTTGCTTGAGGTCGAACCTCAAACTCATGTGCTGCCTTCCTCCTATTTTTTTAGGCCTTCCAGACATAGCTCTTTGTTTTGGAGGGAGCACAAGGTAGTCAGAGGCCTCTGGCCATGCTTGTCTCCCTTCGAAACAAGGAATACCTACCTTGTATGCATCTAATACCACTGAGTCTAGAAGCATTGACTAACATAAGAATCAACATCTTTCCTCATATGTGAGATTGCTGAAACAACATGGCAGCATGGCAATCCTCTCACTGTCCAATACCCACAACTATAGATACGATTGTTGAGGTCGACAATGTACCCTCAACTTCCCATCCTAACCTCACACTTGTCATCTAATGTTTGCCTAGAAGTGCACAATCTAGCAAGAGCCTTCTCCTTCTCAATTCTCTTCCTAATTCTGGGGCATAACTAATCAGGGTTATCAAGCAATATTTTGTACTTCAATAAAATCCTATACATCAAATACCCCCTAATACCCTCAAGCATGTCAATCAGCCTCATTCCCCTATACTTGATTATGGATCCATTCCACGTTTCACATATATTGGATTCCACAGAGTCACATTTGCGAATAGGGGATAGGAATGCTCGACAGAAATACCTAGGCTCTTGATCCATGAAGTCTTTGTAGGGCGTTGTGTTCGGGTCTGCTGCTTCTATCGCTTGCAATTCTGCACAAACCGCCTTCCAATCTACTTCATTACATGAGTAGACGACCTTCCAGAAGCATTTCCGCACAACATCTCTTTTATTTTTTTTGCCTTCCAATTTGCATAAACATGCCTAGCGCATTTTCTATGCTCAGCTTCAGGTAGAAGATCACATAGAGCTTCAACAAGTCCCTGTCATTCAAAACATTTTGAAATTAAATAGCTAGAAGTGTATAGGATTAATGATTGACACTAACATTTGGAAATTAAACCGCTAGGAAAATTTATAACCTTCTGCTGGTCAGAAATGACACTCCATCCTCTTCCATCTAACATGCCCGACTCTCGAGACAAAGTGTTCAAGAACCACCTCCAAGAATCTGCATTTTCACCCTCCACTACATCCCAAGCGATAGGATACATCTGATTATTCCCATTTTTACCCACAACAGTTAAAAGCATCCCTTTCACTTCCCCCTTCAAAAAACACCCATCTAAACCAAACATTGGCCTGCAGACCCTGAGAAAACCGCCTTTAAGGTTAGAGAACCCTACGTACAGCCTCTGAAAAACACCTTCTCTTGACTGGGATGCAGATCCACCTCCAAAATGAACCTCCCATGTATGTCCTGTTTGACCATTTCAGCTACATAGCTCCTCACAGTCTCATACTCAACAACCAAACTCCCACTCAACATCTTTATAGCTTCTACCGTCGCCCTATAACAGGTTCTCTTCTTAACATCCATGTTGTGCTTCAATTTTACCTCAACCATTATCTGATCAAGAGCCCACTCTGGATTTATCCTAAATCTATCTAACATATTAGTTGCAATCCAAGCTGCCGTTACTTGATTCACGCGTAGATTACGTGCACATGTGTGAATGAGTCCCACCTTCCTGACCATCAAAATTTGGTTCTTTTTGAACCAGCTAGTATAGACCCTCCACTTGCATCGTTCATCTGTCGCAACCGTTCCGTCCGGGGGTCCGTTTGTCGACGCGTCGGCATTTTTGGGGGTCGCCATCGATCTTACTTGGAGTGGATCGAACACTCGTCTGTCGGCTCTAACCTTAGGGTCAGAACCGAGATATGGTCTGCGAAAATAAAGTTCTGGGTTCGGGAGTACGGTTACGTATGGGGAAGTTAAGCAACACCCCCACAACGCCCTAAATCGGTACTACTTAAGTCGATAAGTTTTTATGCGAGTTGGGTGTATTTTAGTAATAATTTTGTAATTTTAGGGTCCCACTGGACCATTTAACGATTTTATCGTATTAGTTGTAATTTAATTATACGCACACTGACGTAAAAATTTAAAGATAAAGTTAGTTGATTAGTTGGACTCGAACCTTATTGGTTGCCTACGTACCCGTTAGACGGGATCAAAGTCCACGTAGTTCGTTTGGACTTTGATAATTTAATTGTAGCTTTTACCACGTTCCACTGAACGTAATTCTCGTATTATAATTTTATTGTTAAAATTTAGATTGATTATTATTAGGATTTTAATTAGAAGGATGTATTTTGGTGTAATAGAAAAAGAAATGAGACAAACTTAATCCGTATTTCACATTTCGTATTAAGGATTGTAAAACAAATAAAACTAAATGGGATGACAATATTAATGCATGATGGGCTGGCAGCCCAACTGGCTAAAACGCCAGGCAAGGCTTGCGTTTGAACCGGAGGACGTGGGTTCGAAACGCGCTGGTGGAGAAATTTTTTAATTTCTCGTTTTGATGTAGAGAAGGGGGAAGGGCATTCTAGTAATTTCACGAAAACGCGGTGGCAGGGCCGCGTAAATAGCCGGAAACCCTAGGGGCATTTTGGTCATTTTAAAACTTGAGGTATATATAGGCTCTTAAAGCGCAAAATCAAACCCTATTCTATTCGACCTAGCGACCGCCGCTCAAACTCTCCCTCTCATCCCTCTCTATCTCTCTCGGCCAGAGACCACAAACCCTAACCCCCGATCCAAAACCGCCGCCGCTCTCCTCTCTCGTCCCTCATCTCTCTTCTTCGAACGAAACCGCCGCCATCTTCTTCTTCTTCCTTCCCTACCAGAGAATAAAAACCAAAAACCCTAGCCTAAATAAAACCTCAAACAGCCGCCATCACTCCCTAAACCACTCGCCTCGTCCGAGCTACGAGGACGACGAGGATGGCGACATGCGCCGCTGGTGGTGATAAAATCAAGTTTTGAAGGTTTGTTTCCTTTTGCATGTCCGTTTAATGGTTTTATTTTATATTTTCGGTTTGGATTCGTTTACGACCTTGTTTTGATTTTTTTTTGTTTATCTTTGGGGTTCGACGAGAGGAGGAAAAGAGACGGCGGAAGGCGGCGACTGTGAGACGATGGTAGTCAGTGACGACGGTGACATGCGCCGCCAGCGATGGCAAGAGTAAGGTTCGTTTCCTTTTTGAACGATTTCTATTTGCTTTCAGACTCGATTTTCTAAGGTTTCAGAGATCTGATTCCTTTTTTTTGTTTATTTCCGTAAAACTAAACCGAGTCCGAAATGGGACCCTCGATCTACCGTCCCCTAGTTCGATCTACTCTCTTTCGTAGGAACGATGAGGATGGTGAAGAGATCTCGGTAAGATATTGTTTGCATGTGGGATTTTGTTTGATTTTAGATTCAAAATTTAGGATCTGATATTTTATTTTGGTTTTTTTTATTTATGCGAGGGTTTTGGTCGAGGAGAATGTAGCGTCGGCCGGCGAGGTTTCCCGGCGGCGATTTACCGGCGGCGATAGGCCGACGATGACACAGGTAGTTTTATTTTTTGTTTTGTTATTTCTCTTTATTGATTTTTTTTTGGGTTACAACAGGTTTTGACTCTGATGTTTTGTTCTGTGCAGGTTTTTGAGTTTGAGAGATCTGGGTAAGGTTTCTAAACTTAGCTTAGTATGACTGGAGAGGTTAAACTGAAAAAAAATGAAAAGGATTGTGTTGCGGTTTAGATTTAGCCTACAGATTTGTGGTTTGAAAATATGTTGTATGTGCGTTTGATGATCTCAAATATTTTCATGCTGGGTGGTTTGGTGGATGGTTTTAGAAGTAACTCCTAATATGCTAGATTTTTCTAAAAATGAAAAAGAAAAGAAAAAAAGAATTTTCTATAATTGGGAAGTAATTAACATGCTCTAAAATTGATAATTTTGGCAACTAAAAATCACTGCATCTGCTTGTGACTTTACCAAAGTGGAGTTCGAAATATGAAATATAATTATGTAGGGTGATCCTATTGGATCCAGATCACACCTATTATAACGCCCAATATACAAAAAGGTGGTGGTTTCGGTTCTTTAAAGTTTGTCTACTTTACTTTCTACTGTCAGTTGTTAATGTCAGTATTCCAATCAATCGACAAAACTTAAATTAGAAATTGATGTAAAAGTATGGAGGCGCTTAATTGAACTCATCTTAATTCGAAAAGAAATTACATGAGTGAACTTGGTATGAGTAAATAGAGCCCTTGAATGAAAAAGGGGTTTGCACGAAGTAAATCGTTTTAATATGAGTAGGCTAGTTGATGGACGATTATAACAGTACAACGATAGAGTAAAGCGATGCTAAATGAGATGAAATTTATCACGAATCATGGAAGTAGAGTTAAAAAAAACACCAACCTTATTAAGATATCTGCGCCAAGAGTGCTTCCTTGATGCTCCGATTGAATCCCTGGACTCAAGTCTCGTGTTGTAATGAAGAGATTAGAGTTAGAATTTCTGTATGTTTTTCAAATCTTCCCCTTTTTGTCCCTCTTCAAAGAGCCTGAAGAGCTCACTTATACCAAACCAAACCACCACGTGTCACTACATGATTCGTCCATTTCTTTATTGCGACTTTGAAAGGTGTGCCCCCTGTTGAGGTCGGCTGTGGATAGGATGTGGTCAGGCCGAACCAGGCCGGTTGGGTTATGGTCCGATTTCGTTGGGCCGAGCTGGGCCTGTTTGTTGGACGTTTATCTGGGCTGGGCCTGTCATACATTTTTCTGGGCCGATACTGGGCTCTGTCTAGTCTTGAATTACTTTGATTTGGGCTTAATCTATGGACTTGGACTCTCACTTGAGAACTGACTGGTCTTCTTTTTTTCTGCAGGTTGGGTTTGCTTTGGGCCCAAAAGAAATAGCAAAGAGGCCTAGTCTTAATCTGATTGGTGCCCCAAATTTTGTAGAGTTAGCATTAGTCATTGTAGTTAATTCTAATTCTTGCTTCATTTAGAGGTCATTACCCAAGTTGTACAATCTTTGATAATAAAGCTCATTCCACTATTCAATTTGTCCCATTTCAAATACCTAATTCAAATCCAAACTCGAGCAACAAAATTTGCACTATAGTCATTTCTTCCATCCAATTGAGAATTTATATGTAAGATTTGCCACTGCTAATCTTAACTTAAACCAGTCATATCTTAACTAATTAGGCCCTAGAATCGACTAGGAGCGAATTTGACAATTGTTGGTTCATATTGACTTGCAACTGCTAGTCTCAACCAAACTATCTTCAACTTCTATTTAAATATAATTGTAGTATGACGTGACAAAATTATTTTCAATAAAACAATTATCTCGGACAAAATGTGGTGTCTTCATCATCCTTACAAATTGCTTCCCTTCTAGATGGTTCACTCCTCTTCCATCTCAAACAAGCTCCGCCTGCTACAGAATGCAAAACCACTGCATTCTTGAACTGCTCTGCATTTGCAAACTTCAACCGTGGAACAAAGTGGAACCGAGAATGATCACATGTTGGATCATAATGAGGAGCATTAGCAAACGGTTCACCACCATCCTCGTCTGACAAATTAGGTTTGACATTATCTGAATCTTCTAATAGACAATAGCTATAATGTTTGGAAGTCTCTTCCCTTGCTTCATGTGCTGGATGCTCGTCGTTGTTCTGGGATGCTTGCTCAGGTATCTCACTGACCTAATCTGCACCATCTAAACCAGCCTCGACATCACCATCATGGCCACCATGCTCAACCTCATCATCTTCTTCATCCTCACTGTCGTCTTCTTCAAACTCATCTAGCTGCTCAACCTCCTCCCCATGGTAGTTAGACCTGGCCTTCACCTTCCTTTTTATCATCTCCCCATAAGCCCTTAGATTGTCCCTTGCAGCACGATACTCATTATCTGAAGTGTCTGCATTGTCTGAGTCATAAACATGGAACACTTCTTTAGCAACAGATTGAGCTCCATCCACTGCTGCAAAGCTATCAGGTGATTCGGCCGGTTGTCCTGGATCGTTCTCTCCCACCAGTTCTTCCCACGAGTCAGCCATCTGACACAAACACGATTAACAATAGCATCACCACTAATTAGTTATTAACCTACTATTTATAGTTTATTACCCACTACCATCCAAATAAACAACACACTCAGAAACCATTATTGTATGATGGGGATTTCACAACCCAAGAATTAAAATACTTATATACCCAGGAGAAGCAGGTTCTCATCGTCAGATTAAGAGGCAAAATCGCGACAACCAGATTTTCCCAGACAGCAGTGGTCCCTTCTCAAAATTGCTATGTCACTTTCCCACCTTGAAACCAACCACCGAATCACGAAAAGTAGACAATCCACTATAAGAACCTTTCGAACCAAAATCAAAAGACACAACAAGATTATTTGAAGGGTATGCGACACTCACAAACGAAGAGAACTTGAAAATGGAGCTCCTTGGCTGCGATTAGGGTTTCTCGACAACGATCTTCTTGGGTTTCCTGGACTTCGACGATGCACCTTAGACTTCCCCATTGTGCTTGTGTTTCGTCGGAAGTATGGTGCTCCTAAGAATCACCATGGCGCCGACTGCATGGAACCCGTCGGAGTAAAAGGGAGGCGATGGTTGGGGTTCGTGGTTCGAATAGAAATCTGGGCTTGGGGTAGGGTTATTTGGTGGTGGAGGCGTCGATCGGAGGAGGATCGGTGATTATCCGGCGTGTTTCTGTGTTTGAAGCTCTACTCTCGCCGTCAGAGTGGTCGGAAAACGGAGAGCTTGAGGGAAGGGGAGAAAACTGTTCGAAGTGAGAAATGGAAGGTCATGGCTCGTTTGGTGGTTTTAGGGTTTTTTTATTTTTTTTCTCTTTTAATCTACGTAAGACAGTGTGGTCAGAAACCCGCCAAATCAGCAACCACCGTTTGTCCAGTCATCATGTTAACTTACGGAGTTAAAGGAGAAGACGGAAATGGATATTTCGTGTATTTCGATAGATGTGGATATATTTGTCACAAAGGTGATAGTTGTGGATATACAGGTGTATTTTGTCAATTTTTAGATAGATAGTAAAAGGATTAATATTTTCACATGGCTCGAACTTTACGCTATTGTATCCAAAATAACTAATTTAGTCCAAATCGAGAGTTGATTGTTAAGTTAGTACCTACAATTTTTTATACTTTACAATATGGTACCTATAATGATTTTTTATACTAAACATATTGGCAAATTACATTTGGTCGTTTATGTCTACACCAAAATAAATGTTGGCAACCTACCACTCATGCATTTTGTTGTGTAACAAAGCGAATAAATATAACTAGCAGCTGGCGTTAGGGATAGCAACAAAACCCGAACTCACGGGTACCCATCCGACCCAACCCGGTCAATGTGGGTAAAGTCCGTGTTGACGGGTTTTGGGCCGGGTTCGGGTTTAAACCTGCTACACTATTAACCGAGTCGGGTTGGGTTTGGGTTTAGGTAAATCCGACCCATGGGTACTAGCCCACACACATATAATTATTTTCCCGATATATTTAATATTCTAAATAATATATTTTCCTTAAACAATTCATATTCTTTATGTTTGTGGAGACATGTATAATTTGTTCTTTCTAATTGTTTAGAATGAAGTTGATATTATGAAGTGGAGAGTGAAGACACTTAGTTGACGAGGAAGAAGCTTTCAATTAATCTTTTGTTTATAGATGTTTATCTTTAATTTTGAACAATTTGTATTGATCATTTGCGGTTTGCTTGTATGCTCTAGATTGGTGTTTTTTTGTATGATTAATTTGTATGAGAAAACTGATGTTAAACTTTTATTTTGAAAGAAACTTGTTATTGTAAATTTTTTCCACAAAAACCCACGGGTACCCATGAACCCGCAGATACCCAGCGGGTTGGGTTGGGTTTGAGTTTTTCAAACCCAATGGGTTTTACCCCGGGTTTTTTGGCAGATAAACCCATGAATTTGGGTTTGGGTTTGACAAAACCCGCCCCAACCCGACCCATTGCCATCCCTAGCTGGCGTTGCTGTGGTCCCAAATATTCATAAAAAATAATAATATTAAATTGAAACATATCACCATTCAAAGGTAGGCCAACAAAATACAACCACAACAATGCAACTTCTCAAAAGTATTTAACCATTTCTGTAGGGAGCACTTCTACTATGCTTTAGAGTATGGGTGTTTTAATGTACAGTTTGAAGTTGTACCATAACGTTACCAAACTTCAAGTTATACCATAAAGGCAAAAACCTATAGCACTAATGCTATATAGCATAGTAAAATTCCTCTTCTGTAGGGCTGGTAAAAAGTGCATTAAGGAGAGCTATGTAGCTCGTGTTAGAGCTAGTCAATAGAGTTGTAATACCACATTGATGGGAGAAGAAAAGTATAAGAATTGAGTATTTTTGGCAGTTAATTAATTAATTAATTTTTATATTAATTAGTTAGCGTTTGAATATTGTGAAAAGAAGTGTCCTTCTGGAAAGGTAACTTCCCTTTTCTGTGAAAGGATGTGTCCTTTCGGGAAAGGAAACTACCTTTTATGTGAAAGGATGTGACTCTTCGGAAGGTAACTTCCAGTTTTCACAACTATAAATAGATGATTGTCATAACTCTTTTGATAACGAGAGATTCCTTCTTCTTCCTGTTTCCTTCTCTATTTCATAGCCACAGAAGTCTGCAAGATTGCTGCTTCCAGACTTAAAATTGAAGGGACTCCTGGGGGTGGTTTGCTCAAGCCTACCAGCAATTTGTAGTGGGGGCAAATAACACTCTAAGGAGAGTGATTAATTCACGCCTTCAATCGATTCTTTCCTACCAGTTCCTGACAGCTCGAAAGTCGAAACCAATGAGAAAGAAATCAAGCCTTAGGTTTCGCTTCCTCCATCCATGGATGCGGATCACTCGTCTCCGATCCAACCACGTCAGGCTTCTCTGTAAACACGTTCTCACAAATGTTATGTGATCACCATAGCCGATCGAAATTTGGTAGAGTAAAGTGGAAAGTTACGTTGCGCGCAGAACATTGGCATCCATTTGATTTGCAGGTTCTTGATTGTCCAATAGCAATGGGATCAGACATAATAATAACTTCACAATGCAAATGGAATTAAGATGAACCAATTGAAATAATGCTTGTATGTATAGTGGCAGTTGGCAGCAACCAGATCATAAGTTCTGCAAAGGAAAAGTAGAGGATCCAGGAAGAGAGAAAAGATGCTTGCACGAGAGTGGACATTGTTTCCATAACTAGATTATACATTTGCTCGATTCCCTCAGTTATTTCTTAGGTCATATATTGCTGTCAATATGAAAAGTAAAATAAAAAGACTTCATCACATGTAAGTAAATTTCTTCTGGTGGAGATGCTCTCTCTCTGCCATCTATCAACATCATTTTTACTATTCCTAGTTTCTGCCTAAGAAATTATGAGGGAGCCATATTCAACTCGCCTGTATCAAACCATGTAACAAAATGGTCCCCTGTCCTAGCCAGGGTTTCTTTTCTCTTCTTCGTTTTTTTTTTTTTTTTGGGTATATCTGTTCTTGTTTCCTTTTCCCGATTCTTTTATGGCGGACGGTGCTTTCTCTTTACTTCTTTCCCCACTGCGAGACAGTCAGAAAGGGAGAGCTGTGGTTGAAGAGAGTGAAAAGGGTCCCCGGCTTTACCCCAAAGCTTGCAGGACCAACATAATACAACTATACAAGCCAAAACGTAAAACGACACAAGCTGAAGCTACTATCATCATCAATGCTATTTCTCACCAACTTGCTGTTAGTGGATTGGGCTCTTCATTATTGGCCCATTATGTACCATACGTGTAGAAGTCCACTAGGGTTTATTTCCCTTCTGTAGCCGAGAATTGTAGTGTGCTAACCCATGTATATATACGTGTAACATACCACCCAAAACTCTACGAGAGAACAAAACCCTAATAATATTTCAGCTTGGAGAGGTAATACTCTCCCATGGACTAGTCCCGTTCTCGGAGAAACCACGTAAATTGGTGTGTTGTTATTCGTTCAGTTCAGTTCAGCTTTGCTAACGGCGATAGTAGTCATGATTAATGGAATATTAAAACGATAAAGATTTAATACTGGTTAAACTACAAAGATTTAATATTGGTTAAACTATAAAAATACGAACCACTTACTATACTGATCCATACTCGGATTCAATTACATTGAGTAAAACGATAAATGGTTAAAATTAATAACTTCTGTTGTAAGTAAAATACTATGAAAGAATCTTGTACATTACAATCAATGGTTGTAATATAACTAACTTATAAGTCGTGAGATAAGGAATTGAACAATGAAACATACACTAACAAGGAAAAATGCTCTCGATGAGAAATACAAAATGCTACTCATACTTTTTTGTTTTTGGCAAAAGATAACTCATATTATTGAGAAAATGAGATAGATTAGAGTCACATCACTGCACGCAACCAAGAACTGAAATTGAACCTACCAAACTAGAAAACAATGAAATGGTTTTTTTGCCATCAGATGTGTCACCCTATTCTCTGACCGTCCAACAAAGCGAACACAAACGAAATGAAAGCACTGCAATAACAACTGGATAAATTCAAAGATCCCTCTTCCACGGACATCTTGTTGATCACCAGCCGCCACTTTGTCCAATACTACCTTCACGTCACTTGCAAAAACCACTTGCTAGATGCAAAAGAAAAGCGCCAGGCAATCGCATCCCGCAGCGCCAATTAATAGTTCCACCAAATATTGATCCTCCATAGCACCACTTGTTTCCAACACTGTGCCTGAGGAATCCTGTAAAACCCATCAATCCGCTCCATGGGAACCCTAGGATCGCACCATCCAATAACACCCAAAAAGCTATGGGTGTTATTGGCAATCGCATCCCGCAGCACCAATTAATAGTTCCACCAAATATTGATCCTCCATAGCACCACCTGTTGCCAACACTGTGCCTGAGGAATCCTGTAAAACCCATCAATCGGCTCCATGGGAACCCTAGGATCGCACCATCCAATAACATCCAAAAAGCTCTGGGTGGAACACCCTCCACCCCTCTCACCCCCTCTCCTTTCTCAATCCTGGGGGGTGGGGGGGGTTGAGGGGGCGCTAAAGAACCCTGAACCTGACTTGAATCATTTTGAGAGAAAAACCGAGACAAAAAATCAAGGTAGAACATAAGGTGGAATCAAACACAAACCAATTTATTGCTTTCCAAATATGCTAAAAGAGAGGCACCAATTTCATAAAGTCCATCGAAGAAAATCCTGTCGATCTAAAAGCCTTCGCCAAAATAACTCAACACAAGTCACCGAAAAGGTGTCACAAAGAGGAAAAAGCCCTGAATCTACCCATAGGTCCATTGCCAACAGGCAGTGAAAGAATAGATGCTCCAGAGTTTCCTCCTCATCTAGGCAAGTCTGACACAAGGCAACACCTTGCACTCCACAGGTCGGCAAGGCCTCTCCCATAGGCAGAACTCTACCCAGGATCTGCCATAGGAAAAACTTGAACTTGAGAGGAACATGAGCCCCCAAACATCTTGGCCAGACCGCAACATCCCAATGACGGGCACTTTGTTTGATGTACCCATCTTGACTCTGACAAAACTGAGAAGCAAATGATAAACTGACTTGACAATGTAAACACTAGATGTCTCATGGTGTCGTAACAGCTCATCAGGGTTTGCCAAAGTAGGTAAGGGAATAGACTGAATTAGGAAATTGTATCTTCATCAAATAACTTACGCAACCTAACAACATTCTAGATCATCGTCAGACACCACATCGTCGGTCAAAATTTTGACGGTTGACTACTAACGATCAAAGTTAACGGAAATTAAACTTTGAGACATAATTGACGCAGGGTAAACATAGAGGTACAAGCAGTGGCGTAGCCAGGATTTTATTCAAGAGGGTGCCATAAAAATTTACATATGCAGTCTCCTATATCATATAGTAAAATGATTCTAAACTATATGAATCGTCCAGAATATTAACATTTCACACTTAATGTGTCCCACCAAATAGTCATTCACAATTTTAGTTCACTTGATGCGAAGGTTGGTCAATCGTTTCATTGCATAATATGTTATCAACTTGTGCACTGAATTATTCACAATTTTAGTTCACTTGATGCGAAGGTTGGTCAATCGTTTCATTGCATAATATGTTATCAACTTGTGCACTGAATTATAGTGGTAACGGCGAACAATTTTTTTTTATTTTATAAAACTCATGGTTTAGAGTTTGCTATTCATTAAAAAGGGGTTTGAAAACTCGAGAGATTGCTAAGCCTTTCTATTGTGTATATCTGTCTAGAAACAAAAGATAAGTATGATGAGATAGTGTGTCAACGAGAATATGAAGCGCGGTTAGTAAATAGTATATGATCTATGATTGAATTTCCACCAACAATTCAAGTTATTAATTTGGATCGACTCGTTTTTGATATGTTGGTATTAGACCATTATGTGATCGAGATGTCTTTGTTGGAATCCCAATAACCCTTGATCGATGTGCAAATTTCTAGTCTATTTGAGTGATGGGGTCTCTGCGCTGAACTTGAGCGTGACAATATTCAATTTGCATAACTCTATCTCCCTCTCTCTCTGCTATGCATACATCCATACATACATGCAGGACCACACTTAGTTCCTCTCTCCCGTGCTGGCGGTTTCATCGTTGTATTTTTGTATACTTGCATTTTGTTTGGCTTTGCATCTCGTAATTATTATAGATCCATATTCTCGTCCAAGTCCAACCAATATCCCTCCTCTCTCTATTTATACACCAACCTCTCTCCCTAGCTTCTCTGTTCCTCCTCACCCCAGAAACTAAAGCGCCTTCATTCATCAGCAGAGATGCAGCGTGCGCCATTATCAGCAGTTGAAGCTGCCAGCATGATCTCAGCTTTTCTCTCCTCTCTTTCCCTTGAGCCTGAGGGAAAGTTCAGATCATGTGGCAGTTTCACCTGTTGCTGGCTCCACGAACCAACCCAACCAGCCAACCCAGATTCAGATCTGTTCTCAGAAACACCACACCAACAAACCCTAGCTAGTTCCAAAACCCTAGACAGAAGGTAATTCATTATATCATGGTTAGGTTTCTTCGCCTAATTTTCCTTCTGCGGGACTCTAAGTTGGTAATACTGCTTTTTTTTTTTTTTGGTTACGGTGTGTTGACATTTTTCAGGGACAGGGTTTGATTATAAGTTGGTATGTACTGCTTTAGGGTCCTGATTCCCCTAGGCTTATAGTGGATTTATGTTTGTTTGATGTGTTCATTAAAACCCTAGCCTTTTCATCTATGCTAGGGCTGCTGACCCAGTGCACTTCTTACATTTTTGGGGCCTAAATTATTCATAAGTAGACATGCAAGTTATGTATACACAGATTTCTCAGCTCATTTTTATTGTCCCTTATTTTGAATGAACTACGATGGGCTTCAAATCATGTAACCCATTTGTGGCTCTGAAGTGTAAATGGTGAAATGAAGCACTAGAATCGAAGGAGGAAACAAAGTATACCATTTATACAGATTTATTCAAAAACTGGTGAAGTAAAAGAGGATGCAGCACACGTTAAACCTAGTCACGAGAAATGTACAAGGAGAAGAAGAAAAGTACACCTGAACATATGAGAGATGCATGCAGGGACTATATAGTTACTTTTACTGTAAATTGGTTTCTGTTTTTTTTTTCCTTTATCTGTATTTGCAGGATAGGGGCGGGTTGGGTAGGGTTTTGTTCTGTGTTCAGTTACATGACCACAATTGCAACCCGACAGAGCTTCTTTTGTGAATGTCAGAACAATTGGCACTTGTAATTAGTTAACTTTTCATTTGGTTAGACAAGCACAATATATAGGGATTGAGAGTACTGTTGGATTATGAATGGTAATGGTTAGATTAGTTGGATAATTTGATAAAATTGTCATGTCTAGGGGTGGGCAACGATTCTATTTACATTGGACCGAATCGACTCTCACACCAAATCTGATCAAACTGTTTATCTTTCGATTCGACTTTGGTTCTTGGATTTGGGACATTTTCGATTTTGGTTCGGTCCATTCCGAAACCGTAAAATCAAGCTAAGGACCGGACCGAATCGTAATTAAATTAATTTCCTATTTTATTATGCTATGAAAAGGCAAGTCGACTTTGAGTTGAAAACCCTAGTACCCTACACAACACTTAACTACCTATAAATATGATTGACTTTCCCTGACTTTGACTTACCACTCCGCTCCTATAGTCCTACCCTCAAATCAGATTTATCATCCGTGTTGCTTTGATCAAGAGAGCTGCTTACATTACCTACACACTATGAACCAGATATTTATATTGTGTTCTATTTTCTTGTTTAATATTTCAGATATGGAGAAAATGCGAATAAATGACACTAGAGAGACTTCTGCCAAGTCTGACAACATCACTGCAAATTAGCAAGGTTAAGAATAAATTTTTTTTTATTGCAATAGTTCTTGGAGTGTCACTTTGTTAAACTCCCTTCTAATGCCTTATATCATGTGCTTATATTGCAGAAGAAAGACTTTCTAAGAACAGTGACAATTCTGTAGATTGGAGGTCCAACGTGCACTCTGAAAATGAAAATGGAATATTAGAGAGGCAATTAGTTAGACTACCTTTGAGATTGAATAAAAAGACTTATGACTTTTAGTTAAGTAGTTCTCGTTTAGCTTTTTGCATAAAATATTGGAACATGTGGGTTTTAAGAATTGTGGAGTATTTAAATTGGGATAAGTTGATTACTTCTTTTTATGTAGTTACATTTTTTAATTCTTGTGTTGTCCTTTCAGAGTGATTTTATCTGAATGAAAGATTAGTCGGTCCAATGGGATGGTCCAGACCGAATCGAGCCATATATGGTTTGATCTGGACCGAATCGAAGTAATAACGATTCGACTTTGGTCCTTGATTTAGAAATTTTTTTGGTCCGGTCCGAGGATAGTTTGGTCGACCAATGGCCACCCCTAGTCATGTCATATGAGTATTGAGTCGTTTAATGAATTCATATGTACTTTTAATAATTTTGAATTTGAGTTGGATTTAAATTGAACCCAATTTGGATAAACTCATTTGGGTTAGACCCAAATGGGTCTATTAGTGTGCAAATGAATATACACACAACAAAATAGTGCCGACCATCTCATTAAATGTCTTCAACCCAGTTTCACTTTTTTATTGTTTGTGTTTTCACCTTTTTATTTGTTTCACAACCAAAAATAAGGCAAAATTGCATTAGAATTGAGTATTTATTTCCATGTCGATACCCAATGCTATGGTTCAATTTATCTCCAAATCCGATTTGACCAATACTAAAATGGCTTCATGTGGACAATACCTAATATTGAATATTTTTGTCACCATCCATGTAGTATGGGCATCGTCAGTCATTCTTTGTGGAGATAGTCATCAACAACGCAGATTACTGGTGCTTAATATCTACCCAATAATTTATAGACGTTCTTCACCAACACCCTCCCCATTCTGATTTTCCATTAGTAGTTTTCACCCCTTCCCAATAATTAAGAAAGGATACATTTTCTGTCCAAAATTTTATTGTGGAAAGACCTTATAATCTTACAAGTCATATCAAATAAGAAAAAAAAATTACTAATGAAATAATCTTGATTTATGCACCAGTAATGGACAATTTAATGGAATAGAAGTCGTGATTTAATCAATATTAATAAATGGGGAATGTAATATCGTTGTTTAAAAAATAAAAATAAATTAAATATTAAATGTGTATTACACCGATACAAGATAGGACAAAAGTCGGAGGTATATTGTAGATTTCCATTTGAACACATAAAGCTAATTGATATGATTTTTTCTTAATCTTTGTACAGTACACTAACTTGACTACCAATAATATTTATCCAGTCTCACCGAGAATATGGTATGACAAAAGATTATTCGTGCAAACAATATGCATGAAATTGGTAATCCGAGCAAAGGACTAAGGCTAAGTGGTATGAATCCTTAGGAAATTTGTTAGCTTAGAGCCGAGTATATGGAAGTGATTAATTTTAGTTGAGGATTACGTACCTTAACAAATTGTCTAAACAACATGCACAACATTCTCAAAATAGAGATCGAGAGTGCTTAACTAACTAAGACTTAGGCGTGAGGTAAAATAAAATTATCTTAGAAGGAAATTGTTAGATGTATCATTTGAGCTTATACCAATGTCTCTTATGAGTGTTTCAATTTGGTAATTGATAGTATGATAACATAATGCTTTGTTTTCAGCCCAAGTTTTAGGTTGTCCATCAATTATTTTCTCTTGTATTATTTGTACACTTTAATGATCCACTTTCATATGTCTTGAAAAAACATTGCAAATTGATATCGATAAATGTGCCACAAAAGATAAGAATTTTGTGTCAAGAAAATTTTCAAAAATTATTTGACAAATATTGTTTGGAAAATGGTGGCGACAGTAGATCCAGTAGTGGAGGTCACGATATTCTTAAGAACAAGGAAGAGAGCATTCATAGTGGAGATAGAGGTTAATATTGTTGATGAAATGCACCCGGCCAACGGATCGGGTACCAAACTAGTATATGCTAAGGTTAAATTTTTTCAATAATCTCTAATCCTCCCTTATTTCGACAAATTCAACGATAAGATTAGATCTATTAATGTGTGGTTAGAAATATAGTTAGCATGGTGCTAACCTCTGTAAAATTAGCATGGTACTAATCTCTAAAGGCTAGGATAGTATAAGGTTAGCATGATGATAGCTCATGTGTCGGATTGTAAACGACAAGTAGACCTGTCCAACCGGTTTCGGGTTTTCGGGTTAAACCGAATCCGAACCGAAAACACTGAAGTCGGGTTTCGGGTTTTCGGTTTCAAACCGAAGCAACAGTTAGCGGTTCCGGTTTTTCTGTAACCCGAAAACCAATTAAAACCCGAAAAACCCGAAAGCTCTTAGGGTTCGGGTATCTCCTTGCGAATTGCGACAGAGGAGAATTGTGGTGGGGAGAGGGGAAAGAAGCAGAATGCTGGCGTCGAGCATATTGGAACAACAGAACCCAACCTCGGCGGGGAGAGGGGAAATAAGTAGAACCCTAGCGTCAAGGTTCCAGTGGAATTTTGGTCGACGGAGAGCTTCTCTGTGACAGATTTGTTGTTGGTGGAGGCGTCCTTCTCCTTCGTCTGCTCTGCATTCTGCAATCTCCAATCTCGATCTCTATTTCATCAGTCAACACCTGACGAAACCCCAATTCCCTCTTCCTCGCCGGCCGCCGCCTCGCCTTCCTCGCTTCGCCGCCCATCGCAGTGCTCTGTCAGTCATCAATCTCAGCCGCCTTAGTCTTCTGTCTGTTCTGTTGAAACGAAGACTAAACCCTAAAATTTGCAGATTCGAGTCGTAATCCGCCGGCCGCCGCCTCGCCTTCGTCATCTGCTCAGACTGCAGTCGTCGGCTTCCGTCCAACGTCCCAACTCCAGAAGGTAAGCTTTTCTGGTGCTAGAGAATGAACCCACCTTCCTTTCTCCCTTTACTCTACTTCCCACTGTCGTAACTCAAAAGCTCCGTTCTCTTTTCGGTCATGGTTTCACCCGAACCGAACCAAGCCCGCCAGCACAAATTTCGGGTTCCAGCACCCGAAACCCACAAAGCACAATTCGGTTTCGGTTTCTGGTTGTGGGGGATCGGGTTCGGGTTCGGGTTTTTGGTTTTTCACGGTTTTCGGGTTCGGTTACCCGACCCGAACCGAACCGACAGGCCTAACGACAAGTGATGTAGCATATTCAAGCAGTACTCCCAACTGTAGGTTCAATTCCTTTGTTTTATATTAATCTTTAGATTAGAACTAGTAATGTGTGGTCAATCAAACATTACTATAAGGAGGTTCTCCTTGGAACACCCTTAATTTCACTTTTCCTGGCTTCTCCGCAGACCACGGCTGAGCTGTTTGGACTTTTCCACTTTTATTATAATAGATTTACCAAATGATTTGGGTATATATCATGCCAAGCGGCAGGAAGAAAAAGAGACGTGAGTGATTAATGGATTATTATTGGGGATTTTTCCAATAATAGCATCTTTTAAAAAAATCATAAAAAAACACCCAGCCCATAAAAATTACAAAAATAGCACCATTTTTATGAAACAACACCTTGGAGATGCGGTCCGTGCCAGGTCAGCCAAGGAACCACGCTAGGAAGCAGCGATTTGTGTTTCCTCCGGAGCGGCCTTCAAGACCCTTGGATAAGGCAGCGATCAAACGGCAGACCGCATGCCACCTCAGCGATCCGCGCCATGGATCGAAGACCCCAGCTGGCAGGTGCGGTCAGCGCCTCGAGAAACGGAAAATGCATCCGAAGGGTGCGGTTTCATTGAGTGCAAAATTATCAGACCGCACCTAGAGGGTGCAGTCTGAATAGTATAAATACCCCCTCTCATTTCTTCACACCACAACCCATTCTCACTCTCTCTCTCTCTAAAATTATCTCTCTATCCCCTCCCCTCCCAAAAGCCTAGGAATTAGTGGCCTGTTGGTTGCGGCTAAGTCCGATCTGCCATCAGAAAACATTTCTTTGGTTTTTCCCTCAAAACCCGCCGAATTTATGTCCGACTTTCGCGAAAAAATGGACAAGTGGTTCCAAGGAGAGGGAGTTTATTATGATGAATTTCAAGCGGTACGTACTCATTATTCTGGTCAATTTTTGTTGTGTTTATAAGCTTTTTAATTATTATATGTACTAACCTTGTTGTTATTCTATCGTAGGTTGGGGACGACGTGGATATATACAACCAACGCTATTATTTGGATCAAGGACCTATTGATCCTACTGACTTGTACGACCAACCCAACCATCGTTCAAGGGATGTTTGGAACGATCACCAGGTACATATAATTCTTCATCATTTGTCTTTCTTTTATTTTGCTAATGTACTTAGTGGAATATAAAATAAATTTGAAATAATTTAATCGTATTGGTTGTTTTCAATAATTTAATCGAATATATAGCGCCACTTACTTCGACTCTTTATAACGAGATGCACCTCTAAGAAAATGGGTTTCAAGCGATTATCATGATCCTCCCGTTTCCTGGAAAAATCGGGTATTAAGCGATTATCATGATCCTCCCATTTCGATTAAATTATTTAAAACAACCAATACGATTAAATTATTTACTAAACAACCAATAAGATTTATGTTTATGTGTACTTAAATGAATTTTATTAATTTCAAATATTTGAATATGTATGTATCTCTTTAAATTATTATTCATTTAGAATGTTATTTATGTCAATTAATTGAGTATATTTGTTTTATGATAATATGTATATATCTTGGAAAAAACCATCAATTACTTAAATTTGATTGTTAATAATATAATTATAATAAAATTATGGTCGAAATTAAATCATTAATTTTAATTAATTTAGTTATAAGACTAAACTGTTACTAATATATCATAAATAACGTGGAAATTTTTGCTAGGAGGCACAACAAATACTCCGCTACAGGGGTACAACCAATGTGCTCCCATGGAACCCAGTTATCTTGCCCTTTCTCAAAAAGGCACGGTTGGAGGGGTCACTAACTGGTGCTGGTGATGGACACCTTCATCAGCTCCATAATGGTAGTTGTGAAAACTACCGCTGCCTGATTGGAAGTAGTACTGGGATTGGTTGGCATGGTCCGGTTGAACTTCTTCTTCATATTACGGGAAAGATTGATGATGACCTTCACCTTGCTCTTGGTACTGAAAATAGGAATGAGGATCATGGTAACTTTGGTAGGGATGATCTCCATATAATTCACCTCCACCATGGATACCAGATGTTTGACCGTCTCCAGAATGACCTCCAACCCCTACGACCGCCTCGGTGTACACGAACATCTCGGCTTAGGAAAGATTGTTGGACCTCAAGAATTCGAGCATGTCATCTACTTCATCCTGAGTGGTTATGAGATATTCCTCGTGCCACAACGACCCGCCTTCTCTGTTTGGATATCGGTACACCATACGATTAACTTTTCTCGTGCCATCCATGCAAGTAACGTTAGTACACATTTGATAGAGGTCTTCAAGCATCGGTCTGGTAGCGACCTTTATTTTCTGAAAATTGACACCGACGTAGGTGACCCCCTTTCCGGTCTCTTCCGTGTAAACATTCCACCGTAACCCAAGCGTGAACTTTTGGAATGCCATCTGCAAAAAAACCGTAGTTTAGTTAATATCATAAAAATCACAAATCACAATAAAAAGTACTACAAAATAAAGTTACGAGTTAACGTTAACCGCAAAAAACACTAAAGACGTAGGGAGCTACAACAGAAAATTGAAAAGGGAGAAGGGGAGGTGTGAAGAGAAGAGGTTTCCCGGGCTGTTTTTTATAGGCAAAATCATCAATGAAAACCGCATGGGGAGCGTGCGGTTTTCATCTGCCATGAAGCCCCACGTCTGTCAACCTGCATAGGAACATGTTTGATGTCGGAAAATAATTACGACACACAAATAATTATGGTTTTACCCATGCCTGTATCTACACAAGAATTGGGTAGAAAACTAAAATCATGTCCACATGCGATATTTCGGGTATTCATGATTATCCATGAATAATAATTTATCTTTACTACCAATATAAAAAAATTATCTTTATTACTCTAACCAACGTGTTAACATCATACATATAGTGACATTACGAAAGTAAAAAGTATGACAATAAATCACTAAAATGAAAAAAAAGTTAATACAACACAATTTGATGAAAATATTATATATGTGTAACAAATATCAAATTTGTTGAGAAAAATAATGACCCATTCTAGAGAAATTACATACGCATGTGTATTAATCGGATGATTTGGGTTGAAAAGTGAGAAAATCATGCTCACAAATTACCCGCAATATTCATATTCGGGTTTTACCCCTACCCATTAAAAATATGTTAAGTTTGAGTTTTACTCTACCCAATTAGGTTGGATTCGTTCGAAGATATAGATATTTTTATCATCCCTAATAAAAATATATATTCCAGCATTATCAGAAGTTCACAACTCTCAAATTGAGAAACATTTTGCAGAATATGTATGCTAAGCCAAATCTCTCATGCCAAAAAAATTACAACTATTGATTATGTGGAAGTTGCAAAATACTAAAAAGAGAAAACAAAGGCATGGAATGAGAAAGAACCAAAGAGTGGTGTATGTTAGCAAAATAAATACAAACATAAAATTATGGTGCTTTGTGATGTATGATATCATAGAGGTTAGGCAATATTTCATGTTGTTTAACTTTATATAATATATTAAGCCTATGGAAGCGACGAAGAGGAGCATGTAACCTTCTTTTTCTCCGTTCCATAGCCTTTTCTTTACTCCCTCAAATTATTATATGTTCCTTGCGCTACATAAGACGTTGTAGTGACTATAATCCTAGCATAAAATAGGGTAGGTGAAAATTTTAATTGTGGTGGCTATTGAGTGAAATCGATTTTGAGTTGTTTTCATTTCCTTTGCAGCTTTATTAATTAGGCATATGTTTATTTGTGTTCAAATGCCTATGAAAGAATGCATATTGGAATGTGAATCATCATTCACTAATTGCACTACTTCGAGTGATCAAAATTGATATTAAATTTTTCTAGTGACTAAACATGACACAATTTAGTAATCTCAGTTACCAAATGTGGAATTGACTCTTTTGTATTTTATTAGTAAAACTAGTGTTGTGAAGACAGAACCGATCGATATGCCTGCTTGCTCAATGTAGCTTCTTGATATATATAACCATCATATTTGAACCAATTAGGCGGATGCTGGTTCTAGTGGGACGAGCGGCTTAAACATTCCAACAATATTGGTGAAAATTTTGTCATTGCTAAGATTTCAACCTAAGTTCTCTTATTGATAACTATGCGAGTATACTACAAACATGATATACTACATATAAAATCTATGTAAAAGTGGTATTGTTGAAGCTATTCCTTTATGTTAACACTAAACAGAATAAATAAATAATCTTTGTTTACTGAAAATTAACCACAAAACCTTTCAAATCAAGAAAATGATGATACAGAAAAGGAGTATCATAACAAAACAACAAAAGTATAGCTATGTATCTTTAATAAACTCAAAAGTCAACCTAGAAAAGCAACCAAATGAATTGATGGTTAAGAGATCACACATTACTGTCAAAGAAACTAAATAACCCACCGGTCACTGTCAACTCTCCAAGCAAGAACACTCAACCTTTCCATATTTATCCCTTCAAAAATTGCTCTGGTGTAAAAATATAGGTGGAGGAGGTTAGGCGCTTGTTGAGTCCGGTGGGAAGGTTTGGAGAGACGACGATGGTTGAGCCTTTAGTGGGCCGGAACACTATTTAGATCCGTTTACATTAGTTGCTCCTTTTCCATCCGCCTTCAACAAACCAACATCACTCAATCTTTCCATATTTACCCCTCTCTTAAAGACACAAGTGTTACGTATTCACTCAAAACTTGTGTTAAATAATATTGTTGTTTTATGATAGTTATAAAATTTAAGTCTATGTTAAGAATTCCGCATCACTTCTACACTTTCAATACAGTAATTCGATATGCAATATTTGCACCAATGACGTAAGGGTTGCGATTTTAAAATTGTTCTCTTTTATAAAAACATAAATAGAATTAATTATTAAACTTTAATTAAAATAATAAAAATTTGAAATAGAAGTATTAAATACCAAAAGAATATTTCGGGAGAGTTTGTGGGTTAGATAATCATGCGGGAAGTACCTTTTTCATTTTAATATTATATTAGGTGTAGCGAAAGTAAGCCCGATGGTTGAGTGTGTTTAGTGGGTCGGGCAGCTATTTGGGCTCGTTTACTATAGTAGCGTCTTTTCCATCCGCGTTCGGCAAACCAACACTCAAGCTTTATATATTTGCCCCTCCGAAAATTGCTTTAGCGTAACAACAGAGATGAAGGAGGTTAGCTGGTTGTTGAATCCGATGGGAAGTTTGGAGAGACGACGATGCTTTAGTGGATCGGTGTGCTAACTGGGATCGTTTACATTAGTTGTGTCTTTTCCATCCATGTTCGGCAAACCAACATCGCTCAACCTTTCCATATTTACTCCTCTCTTAAAGACACATGTGCCACATATTCATCCAAAACTTTTGTGTTCAAAACTATCCTTCCTTTATGGTAGATGGTAGTTATAAAAATTAGGTCTATGTTAAGAATTCTACATCGCTTCTGCACGTTCAATAGTGCAATCCGATATACAATATTTGAACCAATGACATTTGGGCTGTGATTTAAAATTATCCTCCTTTTATAATATAAATTAAATGAAATTCATTATTAAACTCGAATTAGAATAAACAAAATATCAAATCAGAAAGTATCAAATGTCAATAAACAATATTTATGGGAGAGTTAGTGGGTTAGCTAACCGTGGTGAAAAAGTCGTATGAGTTTCAACTTTAAACTTCATGTATGTTTTAATTTAAAAAGATTTACCATATTTGGTTAGTGTAACTGGTTGTGTTTCTTTCTTTTTTTTTAAGAGACAATGGTTTAAATCTCATTATTGCTGTATTTTTTCATGCAAATAAGAAAATAATAAATGACTGTGAAAACGAATATACCATTCCTACTTTTGTTATGGATGAAGAAAATTTAAAATAATGATTCAAGTTTCTCCATTTTCCTTTTATTTACTGTGTAGATTAGCAATTCAAGACCTTCCAATCACATGTTAACATTATAACGTCTCTAGCTATACCAAAATAAATGTGGGTGTTGATATGACTTGAATCGGACTATCAGCCGCTACGGTTTAGACCCACATTGGAGAAGTACTATAAATCTGTAATCTCCTCGATATAGTGAAACTGGCTCTCTCTCGCCCGTGGACGTAGCTAACACACATCATGTTAGTGAACCACGTAAATCGTGTGTCGTGTTTTCGATTCTCGCTTTCGTATTC